AAAATATTATTTACAGTAGATTTCAGTCATGTGCATTCTGGGACAGCTCTTTTCTTCCAAAGCAGCCACCAACCATGCTCTTTCCCCACAAAACCAGGTGACTCTTCTCAAGGCTACTTCCCTTGTCAGATCGTTTCACAAGGCAGCAAAATAAAGATTTTGATATTTAAATTGAGAGTTATCATAATTAGCCTTACTTCTCCCTACCCCCCACCGCTGTTAGTCAAACAGACTGATAGTTATTTCTTTCAACATACAGTATTTTGAAACGCAAATCAGAAAGCAATCATGAGATTTAAAGCAAAGTAAATATTATAGACCAAGTGCCAATACCTATCAACTCTAGAGCCAATTTGATGGACATATTTTTACACTTATGTCAGTTCCTAGTTTTCCCTTTTCCTCTGGATCCAGTCACCAAGTTAAATGTCAGCTGCATGAAGTAAACACATTCACAAGGATTTTAAGCTCCGGGATGGTCAAAGTGGAATTTTCTGAAGAACTGTGCTGAAACCACAGTCGGACGGACGGAGCCTCCTTAGAACAGGCTGCGGCGTAAAGTGGAAGGGTCAATGGGTGAAACAGGGCCTTGATTGCACTGTTACAACAGCGCAGCCAGGGACAACAGGTCTACAAGTACCATCAAGCCATCCTGTGAGGACAGTTCTGCACAGCAAGACTACACAAAGGGCCATGAGAAAGAGCGAGGCCCTTTACAGGACTTACAAAGATGAGCTTGGAAAAAGGTCTGTGGGTCAGTACTGCGGGGTGGGGTAGGAGGCGGGGGAAGGGTTAGTGGCGGTGTCACATTTAGTGTGAGAGTTTGGTAGCGAGTAAAATCTCTGAAGTCAGAAGCCTGGCATCATGTCCTAACTATCATTCCTGGGAGAAAATGATAAGGCCATATCATGCTTCAGTTATTTCATCCGTAAAATGGAGAAAATATATTAGGTATGGTAGTTTCGTTTTGAGGAAGACAGAAGAATAAGCTTGTATGAGTGCCAGGAACCTAATTAATGTTAACTTCTACTATTCGTATCAACAACAATTACCTTAAGGACGTATACTGGTCACCATTTCTATTTTGGAGCTGGGCGACTATATACAAAAATGATGCTGGGTACTGGGGGAGGTTCAGCAAAGGGACACAGCACCGGAAGCACTCACTAGCTCATGTCAAGAAATCTGGAAGACTGCTAGCTACCTGGCCAACTGATTAGAAGAGAGCCAATTTGTGCCCATTCCAAAAATGTAAGAAAAGGTGACCCAACAGAATGCAGAAATTATCAAACAATATCATCGATATCACCACTAAAACTTTGCTGAGGACTGCTGACATCAGATGGATTTTGGTTAAGAGCAGACAATACCAGAAAAGATTTCCCCCTGTGTTTTACCAACTGTGTGGATCATAACAATTGCAAAGAATGGCAATTCCAGAACACTTAACTGTGCTCATGCAGTACTTACCATATATACTTCAGTATAAGCCGAGTTTTCCCAGCACATTTTTAATTCAGTTTTTGTAGTAAAATTAGGTGCCTCGGGTGATATTCGGGTCGGCTTATACTCGAGTATATATGGTATATACACAGACCAAGAGGAAGCCACTCAAACAGCAAAGGAAACCATGTGGTTTAAAATCAGGAAAGGTGTGTCAGGGTGGTATCCTTTCACTGTACCTACTCAATCTGTACACTGAGCAAATAATTAAAGACAGAATTGGAAGAAGACACAGTAACAATTTGCAATATGCAGATGACACAATCTTTCTTGTTAAGTCG